GAGAAAGAGAGAGAATAAATCAATTCCTGATTAAAATTGCTGACCATATTTGCCTCTGGTATATGAATTTTAATTCTTTTAGTAATCTCATCAATCTGACAAATATCAGATTTTGTAACATGAAGATGATAGCCAGTTCCTAATTAAATAAAATTTTTTTTATAAATCTAATAAGATACAAATTATTGAAAATAAATTTAAATTTATAATACCAAATTTTTTTTTTAAAAATACAGAGGATCCAAAACATTTAATAGATCCTTCTGTCATAATTGCTATGCGATCACCAAGTGCATCGGCTTCTTCCATATGATGAGTGGTTAAAAGTATGGTACGTCCTTTACGCAACTTCAAAATTGTCTCCCAAATTACCCGTCTAGACTGTGGATCCATTCCAGAAGTTGGTTCGTCTAATACTAATAACTAAATATTTATAAATATTATGAAACATTTATAATTTTCAAATATTTACAAAAGTAATTAAATAATTTATTATAAAATGAAAAAATTTCTAATAGCAAATTGATGTAAGGAGAAATAATTATATTTAAAAACAGCATAATATAAAGCTGTTTGACAAAAGAAAATTTAGATATTTCTGTGAGATTGTCTTTTAATAAAAAGTAAAACTGTTATATTTTATTCATGTTTTTTGATTGAATTTAAGCATTAAAAGCATTTATTTAAAAAATTTTAAAGCATTTTCCTTTAAATCCAGCTTTCCTTACAAGCCTTACGTATAATAGAACATTTTAAAGTTAGAAATTATACATTACAAATATTAAAGAGTAGATTTTAATAATTTTATGATAAATAAAAAAGCAAATACCTTTGAACCTCCAACAACTGCAATAGCAATAGATAATTTACGCTTCATTCCATCCGACAGATTTTCTATTGTAACATTTCTCACTTCTTGCAACTGAAGAAGATCTAATATTTCATTTATATTTGATTTTACATCTGTTGTATTCCTAAGCTAACAAATAAAATGCAAAACAAAATAATATATATATATATATATATATATATTTAAATACAGTATTTTATTAATAAAGAACATCAAATGAATATGGGGTAAAGTAAATAATAACTGCCCTCAGTCACCTCAGAAAGAATATGTAGTATAAAATAGCCATGTCTATTATTTGAATTAAACTGGTATAGTTTACATTTACATTTTTGTTACATTTTGAAAATACAAAATTAAAAAAATAAATGCAATCTTTACAATAATAGTTTAGAAATAGTGTTGCAATAGTATCAATTACAAAGCTGAATTATTTTCACTGATAACTCTGATGTGGTTTATGCTTTTTTATACATTATTGAATGGGCCATCATTTCTTTTGTTAAATCAGTAAAATCATATTTAGAAAATGTGAAAAATCCTTTGTGAACCACAGACATTCTTTTGCAACCATCATTTTCACCCTAAATCATCAAAGATGTGTATATGTGTATCTTGTCTTTAATTCTCTTGTATTCATCTTCTTTATATTTTATTAAATTCATACTTTAAATGGCATTATTATACAAGAAAGATGAAAAAATTTCTAGTAATTATCCCCTGTAAATTTATATGGTTGTGCTTCCATATGGGTCAGTTCCTGATAGCACACAAGCCCAAAACAGATATGGAATAGTCACAGTTCATAATAAATGTCTTTAATAGAATAAATATAAAAAAACAAAATTAGTACACAATAGTTATGATACCAGTTACGAAGACCAGGCTCCTGTTCTACTGAGAATTCTGATGAGTTGCATATATCAATAAAATGTAAGTATTAAACTAATGTAGTGATTCTCAAGCTGTGTGCTACAGCCAATGAACCATTATTTTAGTTATTAGTGACATGCTTACAGCATACATGGGGTGCATTTTTTCATTTCCCTGCCTAAATTGTGTATCTTGAGATTCATCTCACTAAAACTTTTTAAATAAATTATCATGATTTAAATTAATTCTGTACTTGCATGTTGTAATAACTTTGTTCATGTATTTGGAGTGGTCACATATCTTATATATGACTAGGTTAGACAACTGTTTGTTGTTCTGTGTTCATCTGAGTTTGCAAGCTCACATACCAGGAATCCTTTATTCACATGGACAATAAGGTGAATTAGTCTATTATCTCTTGATAGAGCTTCCATTTTTATTTCTTTTGAAGACAGTTTGGAAATATTAAAGTGTGACCTCAAGTACACAGAAGTAACACAGAAACAGAAAATGGATTATAAACAAACAAAATTAATAATTTTACAATGTAACTATGTACTGAATATGGATTATCAAGGCTCAGGAATACTTGGATTTTCAAAGATTTCATTCCAATAGAACATAATTTTTTTTTTAATTTGAATTACTGCAACAGTATAAAATTTCATCAATTGCTTATTGCAAGAATTTATGTAATGAAGTTAAAAAAAAATTAATTTATTAAAAATTGTATTCATGCTATGAATTTATTTGAATATATTATCATTGCATATCACTTAACTTTCTAAAACAACTTGAATGAGAATATGCCTACCAAAGTATGAAAACATTTTCATCATGTTACTTATGTTACTTTAATATATATAATAAGATATTGCCATTTTTATTAGTTGATATCTTTATTGTGACAACTGACTCTTTTGATAGTAATATTTATTATAAAATTCATCTGTTTTAACACAGAATTGATAACTTTTAAAAATTAACAAATATTAGACTATATATTGAAGAGTCTTCTTTGTCCTTGTTCACATTGCAGGAAAATAACAGTCTTACAGAGGAATTGACCTTTTATCGGAGGCTGTTTAATAATTTTTTTTATTCTACTTCTATTTGAATAAAATTAAAATGACTTTTTCTAACTATAAACTATTTTAAATATATGGGAAAAAATCCAAATTTCTGAATACACAAGAGGTTGAAATGGACTCCACAATGTTGTGGAGTCCAGTTTCAATTCCTTGTGGTGTGAGATGTAAGATTTTAAGTAATGGGTTATAACACAATAAAATCTGTACAAGTAAAATTTTATACAGAATGACTATGGAATCCTAACAAGTAACTAACACACAACCCGTGATGTTAGCTGAGGACTGAACTCCTGACAAACTCAAGTGAGATATAATAAAATTAAACAAAAACACTTAAAAATGCATACAGAATATTTTAAATAAAACCAAAGGCTTAATCTACTGCAAGGACAAAAGAAGTGGACTAAATAATTAAAACTAATTATTAATACTAATCTTAAGTCTTATATGCAAGAGGATTTTGACCAATAGTGAGTGAGAGTTAGGGACAGAAAGATAACAAAGAAGTACCCAACTTTTTGTTGGATCAAGTCCTTTTCAAACAAAGATGGGAGCATGTGTTCCAGAATTTTTTCTTCTATCAAAAACCTTAATAGAGACATTGTCTTCTTGAAAAAGAACCTCCAAATATCCAAAATATCCTACCTAGGATTCAGTCTTCTCAGACCGAAAAGATCTCTCACTGTACAATCATCACATTTCTGTTATACTGGACTAATCATCTTCTCTCTTCAGCTCTCATCCAAAAAGGTTCCTTCACTCCTTTTTAAGCTGACCATGAAACCAGTCAGACTGCTTCTTATTGGACAAAAAAGAGCCTTACACCAGAATTGGAGTAGACAAAGAAGACAGCTTAAAGATGGTAGAAGGAAACAAAAAAAAATAAGGAAAAAGAAAAATTAATGTTAGCACATATAAATTATGGTGTACAGCCACAGTAGACTCAAACCATCCTCCTCAAGGGTTGCACCAATTATTTATTAAAATTTTTGTAATAAAAATATAAGTTTTTATTATGGCTACTCAGGATCAAAACTTTCTACCACAAAAATAAAAAACAATTTTTTTTTGAAAATTATTATAAACTGAAGTCATATCATTTAAATTGGCCAATGTAGATTAATTAATATTGAAATAATGCTTTAATAAGTTATATTGTGATAAGTTATAACAATATTAAACAACATATATCATAATGAATCAGATTATCATTCTTTATACAGAAGTATGTTGTTAAAAAATTATTTAAATAGTTTTTAATACTTACACCTGCAAAAAATTTCAAATTTTCTTCTACATTGAGAGAGCTGCAAAATATATTAAACTGAGGACAAAGTCCAAGATTTTTTCGAGCTTCTGATGTTTCTGTTACAATACTTTTCCCATTAATTAAGACTGTTCCAGAGGTAGGTTTAAATATCCCTAAAATTAAAGTTTTATAGCATTTCATAAAAATTCTATTTTTATTTAATTCAACATATAAAAACGATTTCATTCTATTTAGATAGTACAGAAATTTACCATATTTACATAATTTAATATTTAAATTAATGTATAATGTAATCTTATTAGCACATAATTATGTGAATAAATTTTATTGTAATATTAAGTAGTTAATGACTGAAAATGCAATAAAATACCATATTTTCACAGAATGACCAACATGCTGATCTATCCGGGGAGACCATGAAATCAGATATTTCTGTATGGTAAAAGCTGGCAAGCTGGTTTTAAGTGAGGTAATACATCCCTCTCTAGAAGGTGCATTAAAAAAAATGAGTGATTACATTACGTGAAAACAAACAAGTTTTTATTCTAAAACTGTGAAACTGTCAGCATTACATCAAAAACTGCAATTATATGTTTAATTTCTTCAATTTGTTTTCTTTCTATAACATAAAATAATCTTGGAATTATGAAAATGCTTTTTTAACGTTTATATTATTGTTATTTGATTCAAAAATACAAAAATAAATATATTAAATTTAAGAAATTCCCTGTAATTTATCTTAACTTACATTGACTAACATTGGCTTTGTATGAAATTTAAGAGGATAATAATAATGTCAATAAGTTGTTAATTCTTTTATTGTCTTGTAAATGAAAACTCTCTTCTTGATTTTAAGTCAGTCAAATTACAATGTTATTATTTTATCATACTCAGAAGGATGTTTTCTTTAATGTTTAATTAACTAATTTTGTTAGATTTGATTAATTTTATATTTTTGTTGCAGTTTAACCAGCATGACAATAACTCCAGAGTTTCCATCATGCTGGTCTCCCCTGTTTTTAAGCAGCATGCCGGTCATTCTGTGACAATATGGTACAATTATTATTAAATACATATGATAAGATACAATCACAATTCATAAACAAATATCACAATTTTTTCAATTCTTTTCACATTCCATAGTTTTGGTAAACTACTTCCTGTGTCATTTTTATATAAACCAATATAGGATTTGCCTATATGAGAAGGTGGGTTGGAAATTCATGATGACTATGCCATCAAATAACTGTCTACCAATTATCTGCACTCTTGTGAACTAGTATTTAGTTAATATGTAGTATGAATAAGATACCTGGTCTGTGAGGAAAATGGGTTAGTATAAATATACTAACCCATTTTATTAACTTTTCAATATTTATTATCAAATAACATATTTTACTACTTATGTTTTCAAAATGACATCACACCAGTAACTCTCATTCATGCAAAAACAGTCTTCATATCTTTAAAATATGTCTTGAATAAAGTGACACAACGTATTCTTGTAAGTTATTGATTGCATGATGAATTTTTGCCGTAAGAGTTTTAATATTTCCTGGATGATCTTCATATACCAGTCTCTTCCTTCACAAAATATTGAAATTCAAAGCAAAAATTCCTGCCTATGTACTTGCTTGCATCTTGTCCATAATCATGAAAATCATTCTGTTTTTGGGCCAGACTACTTTTCCCCCTCCTATGACCCTGAAAATGTTACTTTGAATTTGTTAAAGTACACAAAAAAACTGTCTTATTTAAATTTATTTAAATAATTTATTTATTTCATTTTAAATAAATTCAAATAACAATAACATCATTACAATGTTAGTCTGCAATTTTTAATTATGTTTTAATTTATTTAATTTAAAATATATTCTCTCAATCTTAATAGTGTTTTGCCCCTGTACATCATACTTTTCCTGACAATGACCAAGTCATGCCAGTCATCTAGCTAACTCTGTTCTTCAGAAAATTCTGAATTGAAATCATGTGACTTCTGGTCCAGACCAGTTCATATGTAGTTAATTGGTGTCTCCTGTCCCTAAGCCTTCCATATCTAGTCTTGACTACCATCTATCTAACTCTGTTCTCAAGATTAACAAAGAACAGATGACAGTGGAAATTTATAGATATATAACTTGAAAACTGCAGTCCAATTAATTTTCTGTAGATAAACAGTAATTTATCAATAAATATTTAGATATAATTTGATTGGAGGATTTTATTGTTCTTGTTCAATTGTTCATATTAATTAAAATTCCTGCATTGTTTCCAATAACAATTTTTAACAACTATACCAGGCCAATAATACAAGTATTTGTTCAATTTCCGAAATTTTACTTATTAGATAATACAGTAATACCTCGACTTACGCTACCCCGACTTACGCGAACCCGGAGTTATGTGATTTTCAAATCTCGTCAATTCGTCTTTTGTTTGAGCACCACGCAACTCTTGACTACTCACTCCTCCCACACTATTGTTCAGCTTAAATGTTCGGATGTGTCGCGCAGAATCCACACATAGCTACAATTTATTTTGTGTTATTTATTTCTGTGTTTGTTA